GCAAGGGCTCATTGGGCTTTTTTGGCTCAATGAGTCATAAAAGACAGAATAGGCTCATGAGTCACAACAGACAAAACATCCCATCTAACCCCATAATTATTACTCTTCTCTCACAAAAAAATCAAAAAAGCCAAAAAGCTAAAAGTCCTTCCCAAACTAACCTTTGGAGCCCAGGCTCATAGAGTCAAAAAAGCCGAAAGGCCAAAAAGCCAACCCACTTCCCAAACGGAAGAAATTAACAAATTTTATAAATAAAAAAAAAGTCAAAATTTTATTTTTTCTATATTTTTACACCTTTTTTTTTTTTTTGTGTGTAAAAAACTAAGAAGTTATCTCAAACATACTATTCCTTTTATTTCATATTTTAATTAAAAAGGTAGGAAATTATTAAAATAACCTGTTCAATGGTGATTTTTTTTTTTTTATTGGTTAGAGAATTGATTTTTCTTTTAGTGATTTTGAGGTGGTTTTATTTGTTAAAAAACAATATGTAAAAAATTAAAGAGAATAGATTGTCTTTTTATAATATTTTTTAAAAAAAATTTAACAAAAAGTCAAATTGCCATACCAAAACTTTTACCTTCTCAACTATCACCATTTGTTTATGCCTAGACTATTAAATTTGTCTTCGTCCTCAAACTTTCAAAAAATCATGCTACTTGGTCCCCAATAGTAGATAACGTTAATTATTTAACAGAAAATGAGATTATGTGCATTGCAAATGAGCTATAAGAATGATAAAAGGTCTAAATTAGACATTTTACATATATCTTCATTAAAAAAAAAAAAAAACAACTTATTCTCCCCCTTCTTTTTTTTTCAACCTCTTATCTTTTCTTATCTTTTTTTTTTCCCCCAATATTTTGTTCTCTATTTTTTTTTCAGACCTCTCATCTTCTCCGCTTTTTTTTTTTTAATATTCTGTTCTCCTTTTTTTTTTTTTTTTTCCAGACCTGTTTCTATGCATATATTTGATTCCTGGAAGGCAATACAATTCTGCTTACGAATTTGCTATTTTTTTTTTTCCAGATGGATCTGCTGCTTTGAGTAGGTCAACTAGGGATATAAATTTGGCCTGACCCCACCCATGTTGGGCCTCGCGGGGTCTTGCCAAATTTCAGGTCAGATTGGGGGCCAGAAAATTAGGCCCGGGGATATTCGGACCTTAGCCGGAATGGTGGGCCTGGGCCTGAGCTCGGGCTTGGACAGGCCTAAACAATTATTTTTATTATTTTTATTTTTTTTACCAAAATTTTATTATTTTTCACTAAAAAAGACATTGGGTCTCAGCGTGAGCCTGGACTCGAGTCGGGCCTTAAGCAGGCCGATGGGTCGGGCCACGGGCCAAGTCGAGCTTCAAAATGATGGCCCAGGCCCTAGCCTAAGGTCTCAGGCTGGGCTCGGGCCTGGGCCCAAACAGGCCTAAACAGGTCAAGCCCACCCCAGTGGGCCGGAAGCGAGTTTCGGGCCGTCCATGAACCGTAGGTCATTTTTAAACTCCTAAGGTTAACATGTTTCTGGAATAAGTACCAAAGGAACTAGGCAATCTGCTTTGTTCATACAGGAACTTTGGTTTGGTTTGGATTTGATGAGCATATATCTATCTATCTATGAAACTGGCGGGAAAGTTTCCCTCCTATTGATTTTTTTTTTTTGATGGAGATATATGTAAAATGTCTAATTTAACTCTTTTACCATCCTTGTAGCTCATGTGCAGTGCACATGATCCCATTTTTTATTAAATAATTAACGTCATCTATCATTGGGGATTAAGTAGCATGGGTTTTTGAAAGTTTAGGGACCAAGAAGACAAATAGTTTATAAACTATAGAAATAAAATGGTGATAGTTTAGAGAGTAAAAGTGTAATTAACCCAAAATAAAAACAAAAACAAGAAAAAGCAGAAACAGAATTGATATTAACAGTTAGCTATAAGCAGGACGAATTTCAGAAGCCACATACATTTTACAGTGATATTGAGCGCGCACATACATTTTACAAGGATTTTGAGCACATAGTTTTAGTTTACTGTATGGTATGGTATGTATCTATCAGTGGCTGGTGGTGAGGATTGATTGCCCCTGTTTTCCTTTTTTTGGGGAAACAACAAATGAAGTCACTATCAGGGCTGTTAATTCCGTTTTTCTTTTTCTGCAAAATAGTTTTCCACAATGCAGAAACAACTTTCTGAGTGTTTCCCAGTAACAACTTTTTGGTTTTTTTTTTTTTTTTAATTTTTGAAAAAAAATGCAAGTAACCAAATTAATAAGAGAAAATTACTAAAACATCACTCTTCAATGAATAATGTTTTATCGTAAGTGAGGTTCAACATGTTTTTCTCTTATTTAGTTAAGGTCTCTCAATAATATTATTAGAGAAATCTTAACTTATCATAAATAAATTCAAATTTCTCTGTGAAAAATATTGAGTGACTCTATCTACCATGAAAATATTATATATATTTTACTCTTTCCGTCCTAAAATATTAGTCCCTTATTCTATTTTTCGTTGTCCCAAAATATTAGTCCCTCTTTCAAAATCAAGTACAAAAATAATATAAATTTCCTATTTTACCCTTCTTTTAAATTAATAAACAATATAAAAAATACAATTATGATATTGATATTTTCAAAAAATGTACTATCAAAAGGATAATTTTGAAAAATCAACTTTTTTTAAATGCAATAATTATACTATCAAAAAAAGTTGGATTCTCCAAAATGGACCATTATTTTGGGACGGAGGGAGTATTTTATAAAATTTTAATATTAGGAATCTTAAACTAAAAACTCCAATTAACAATTTGATGTATTTCTAGTTTTTATTTTCATTTTTCATATTTTTTAAACAAAAAAAAAAACGATAAATTTAAAAACATTTATAGTATTCATATCATTTTTATTTTCATATAAAAATAACTGTTTGATGTCTCCTAAAAAGTGAATTATTATTATTTTTTAAATTAAACACTGTTTGAGTAAATAATTCACCAAACTATTTTTTTTTTGTATTTTCTATAAAGCAAAAAAAAATTAAAAATAAAATAAAATAAAATAAATAGATAATCACAAAATGGAATTCATGAAGTATAGAGTTGGATCATGCTACAGAGTAAAAAAATAAAAAAATTAATTACTTAAAAGTCCTATTTACGAATGTTTTGGTAATTCAGATTATATTTAAGATTTTTTGAACCAATAAGTTTTATTTTAATAAAATTGAGAATATTATTAGTTTTTCTCAAATTTTAAAACTAAGAACATTATCAATTTTGCATAATATTATTTCAGATAATTGTTTCACTAATTGATTAAACAAACAGAGAATGAGATTAAATGTTTTTGCCCTTATACTTATTAATTTGATTCAACTATCCAATAAAACTAAGAATATTATCAATTATTTCATTTTTTTTCAATTTTGCATATCAATGTTTTATCATCATGCTCCTTTATAGACACAAAATTTTTAATTTTGCACAAAAATGTACTGAATTTTCTTTTTTTTTTTTTTTTATTTTTGGTATTTAGGGAATTTTTTAAAGTGCCCAAAAAGGCCTGTGTTCTTTTTTTGAAGCGGGAATTTGGTAGATCTTTGATGGGTTGGGTTATCCTCTGCTGTGGTCAAAATTTTTGGTTTTATCTCAGAATTTCTGAAAAGTGTTTTTTGGAAACCAAAACCAAACCAAGCTTATTAGTTTTTCCTTTTCACATAATTTTTTTTTTTAGTTTTTTCAATTTGAGAGTTAATTTAGTTTTTCCTTTTCACATAATTTTTTTTTTTAGTTTTTTCAATTTGAGAGTTAATGTTTTAAACTTTTGAAGATCAAAATAAATGTCAAATCATCATATTCTTTTATAGATAATCATAAATGATAAATAATTATTGTTTGAAGAGCAATTCTAACTATTAAAAATTTAATAAGATTTGAAGGTCTAAAAAATCTTAATTAGAACTTAACAGAGTATAAGTTCATAAATTATAACTTGTGTGTAAATACTCCAAAAAATAAATAAATTCATGGGACAAAACTACGGCCACTATAATGCCTAGAAAGAGTCAAGCCCAATGTTAAAGATCACAATCGAATTCATCGATTCCCAAGTTTTGAATTTAAAATAAGAACAATCAAAGGCGTGAAAGTAAACCAACTCAACTTGAATATTTCTTTTGTACAAAGAAAGATGCTAACGAATTAATATGTTAAATTAGCACAACCTAATGTTTGATGCTTTTTCATAAATTTGAATCTCAAGTCTTTCCTTTCCAAAATTTACCAAATCAATTTATGAGTTATGTGATTCTTTTGCATACCCCTAATTTTTACTTGTGTATATTCAAATATAGATTGATTATTACAGTACTTAGTTAGTTAGTCAATAATAATGGAAATTAAAAAATTATTGCCAAATAAGAACAAAATTTATAAAAATCATCTAGCTCAAATAATTCATCCACCAAATTTTTTTTTGGAGGGGTGGTGGAACAAAAGATGTAATTTAGGTAGCATTTAACATCCTCTTTTCTGTAGTATAAAATCGAGGATTAACCTAGATGAGATACTCAGCACTTTATTTTAGAGTTTTGAAATACATTTTTTTGAGTTTTATGTTGGCTATCCTGTTAGATTTTTGGTATGTTTGGCTTTGGTTTTTGTTTTTTGAAAAAAAAAAGCCTTTAAAAAAGTCACTAAATATAAAAAAAAATACAAAATTTTAATATAATTATTAATTTTTTTTAGATTTCTCTATAAATATTTTATATTTTTAATCTAAAAATAATAATTAGCATATAAAAAATCAATAAAAAAATAAAATAATAAAAATCAAAAAATTGAAAACTCTATTTGAAAACTACAAATCAACTACAGATTCGAGTGAAAAAAGTATCGAAATTTCTTATTCTGTTTTTACCAATAAAAAAAGAAAATAAATACAATAGTCAAGGAGGATTCAAAGTTGATTTGCTAGTGGTTGTTTGAGCTTTATCGACTCAGCTCAATCCAAGCACTACGTGCACACTTTCACTCTCCATTCCCTGCACGAGACGCCACAGCTAATCTCCAACCGCCTTGACATCATTCTCTCTCTCCTCAGGTTTGTCATATTCATATACATACATGCTCTGCAACGCTTATCCAAAGACGTGTATATATGTGTATTCTTATGTATGTATATGTGTATAAATGTAGTTATTGAAGTATGTCAATCGAAAACCCTACCTAGAACCATTCACTTGTTCAATTACTTTGTCGACTCTTTTTGAATTGCAAACCCTTTTTTTACTTGCGAGATTGCAATCCAAACCCACAATTCAATCTTTGTCTTGTGTGGACTTAAAATCATTCGCTTGTTCAATTACCCTTTTTTGATTTGGAAACCCTTTTTTTATTTATTTATTTATTTTTAAAACTTCTGATTACTATCCAAACCCACAATTCAATCTTGGGTTGTATGGTTTTAAAACCCTAGCTCGAACGTTTCACTTGTTCGGTTACCCTTTTTGATTTGGAAACCCTTCAACTTCTGATTACAATCCAAACCCACAATTCAATCTTGTCTTTGTGTGGATTCAAAACTTTAGCAAGAACCATTCACTTGTTCAATTACCCTTTCTGATTACAATCCAATCCCACAATTCAGTCTTGTATTGTTCGAATTTAAAACCCTAGCTGGAACCACGCACTTGTTCAATTACCCTTTTTGATTTGGAAACTCTTTAACTTCTGATTGCGATCCAAACCCACAATTCAATCTTTTGTATTATATGGATTTACAACTGGTGAAGAAGGGTTTTGATTATACCCAGAAAAGGAGGAAGTGGATTCTTCTATTGGCAGCTTTGGGTTTTACAGGTTATGGGGTTTGTAAGGTTTATCACTCGCCTTCCATGGTTAAGAAGAGAAAAAAGTTGTTGAAGCTCTTGGGAGTCCTGATTTCAGTTGCAGAAGCTGTGTCCGATTCAGCTGAGGCAATTGGGGTTGTCTCAAAAGATCTAAAAGAGTTTGTGCAATCAGATTCGGACAAAATCCCCAATAGTTTGAGGCAAATTTCTAAGATTACCCTGTCAGAGGAGTTTTCAGAGTCTGTTGTTAGAGTTACAAGTGCTTTAACTGTTGGAATTTTGAGAGGGTATGGATCAGAATCAAGGAAGGATGATGGAATGAGTGCCAATTCAAGCTTTCTGGACCAGGTTTTGGATAAGCTATTTTCGACATCTGGTTCTGGTTTCGCTTCTACTGTTGTTGGGAGCTTTGCTAGAAACATGGTTGTGGCGTTCTATTCTGATGCAGAGCCTAGTTGGGGATCAAATGCGAAGAATTCAACAAGTCTTGACCATAATGATTCAGAATTGAATTCTGCCCCCAAGTGGGTAAATGCCATATGTGATGAAAAGTTCAGAGAGCTCATCGGCGATTGTATCCAGCAGTTTGTGAGCACAGCGGTTGCTGTTTATCTAGACAAGACGATGAATGTCAATCCATATGATGAATTGTTTTCAGGGTTGACTAATCCCAAGCACGAAAGGAAAATGAAAGATATGCTGGGATCAATTTGTAATGGTGGATTAGAAACTCTTATCAAAACATCTAACCAAGTCTTGACAGGTGCTAATTCGAATTCAAGTTATTCATATTCAGCTATTGATGATTTTGACAGTCGGACTACTTTTAATGAGGAGCTTCTTGGGCAAGAACCACCATCAACTGATCCAAAAGCAAGAAAATCGTTTTATGAAAATGAAGACCATGGTTGGGTGAATAAGATGTCTTCTACTCTGGCAGTACCGAGCAATAGGAAGCTTGTTCTTGATTTGTCCGGGAGGGTGACATGCGAAACGGTTAGATCTTTCCTGGAGTTTTTGCTGGAGAAACTGTGGGATGGCATGAGAAGTAGTCTTAATGTTGTTCATGAGATAGTTGTAGACAGAGGTCTTGAAGTAGTAAGATATGTAAGAGCAATATCATCTGCTATTGTTTCTATATGTATTTCTTTGTGTTTGCATATGTTTGGCGGTGACTGGATTTTGGTGCCAGCTTAGGTGTTGAATATGTTCTCATATAGTAGGTGCTTGTCATTGGACGAAAAAGTTTATTTTTTGCGAGTCCATGTTGATCAGATACAATTATATGTGTATTTTCTCTGTGTGGTTTGATTCAATATTCAAATTTCAGCAGAAATAAGGAAGTTGATTTTGTTGATTCAATCACTGTTGCTTCACCTCTCTGGAAATTAATCAGTTTCCTCCTCTTCTCTTTGGCTTATACAAATGTCTGTCAACTTCTTCCAACTTGTCTTGGTTCAACTAGAGCTCAAAAGCAGCGAGGGATTGATTTGAAAATAGTAAAGCAAAATAATACATTGAATGTGCCAATGTTCTAGAGAATTGATTGCCCTTGCCCAATCAAGTGAAGTTGACCAATGATGCTTGAAGAAGTTGAAGCATCAGGAATCTTGTCGGTATGTAGACATGCTTGTGCTCGCCAATGGTTCTGTTCACCTGTCTCTAGACTCTGTGGCTCATATGAATAACCTGTTTGTGGTATATTTGATTTCTTTCTCATATCAAGGTATACACTTAATAGTTTCATAAAGCTCATATGTCAAGATCTGCTTTCTTGTTGATGTATTCCTGCAAATGCATCTCATCATGGTTCTGTAGTATATGACTAATCATGATTTAATGTGTAAAACCAAGATGAACTTTTCAAATTTTGAATGCCTAGTTTGGAATGACAGACAGTTTGTTGCAGTCACTTGTTAGTTGTATCACAAATCTCTGACTAAGGTTTAATCAGATTAGCAATTGTTAGCAAATTCATGTTGGGGGTGTGACATGGCTCGTAGTTTTTAGGATTTCAAATTTCAGGGCAAGGACAATCGTCAAACCTAGCCTTGTAACCTTAGAGACCCTAGAACTCTCAATCATTATCTCTTCCCTCTCTCTCTCTCTCTCTCTCTCTGTCTTTGTGTCTCTACATTTGGCGCTGCCTCTACCGCATTGAAAGCGAATGAAAGGAATCCACATCCCACTTTTCCTTTCCCCCGCCCTTCTTCTGATTTCATTGGAAGAAATTAGATTACTGTCTTTTTGAACTAAAAAAAGTTTGACCCCTAGTTTGAAAGACCCTTTCTTTTTCTAACTCAAGACAAGCCTGGGGGTCAGTTTATCCTTCTCCCCTCCCCTTAAAACAAATGAAGAAAGAGTTTTAGAAACGAAGAGAGAGAGCTCATAGTTATCGATGACTTTCATGATTTTTGTGTAAAGTGTGCTTCGGGAAATTTTGTTTTGGACTTGTTCCCAATGTAGGGTTATAGAAGATTCCCAGAGATGCCACCTTGTATTTTTTGTCTATTGGAAAAATTAGGGACTCTTGTGTGTTCTGCTTCATGTGTGAACATGTCTGGGTGTGTGCAATAAAAGTTCTAAAGGCAAGGCTTGTTCAATCCTTTGCTTCTATCTTAATTTTGTGAAGGAGAGATTAAGCGGACGCCTTTGTTCTCTTGTTTTCATTGGTGTATTGGCATTTTGTTAAGGCTATTGGAAAGGTATTTTGTTATGCTTCAACCAATGTAAGTTTTGTTGATTGAGTGATAAATACATGATGTTCTCATTACGTATGCCCTCGTAGGGAGTTCTGATGCTTCTTCATTAGTTAATCTGGGTAACTGGAGAATGAGGTTCAAGTTTCTTAATTCACACAAGAAGATTACATGAGGTGTAAGAGTGCTGTGTAACGAGATTCATTTAAAATAGTTGTTCTAACTTCTTTCTTTTTTTTAAAAAAAAAATTTATGTGAAAGCTTTGATGTTTGGGTTTATTAAAATCAAATTGGGATATTGTGGGATAGGGGGAGCCAGAAGAATGAATGACCAAAGAAAACAAATCATATAGGGGAGCCAGAAGAATGAATGACCAAAGAAAACAAATCATATAACTTTCAATTATTACTTTGCACTTTATTCCCATTTTGTTGGTTCTATTGGTGTTGGTGTAATTGATAAATAATTATTGAACATATTCTTTTGTTGTAAAATTTTCTAGAGAACTTTACTTAGTTGCATTCACACTTATTAGCTTCATGAGATGATAGGTACCCAAATGAAAACAATGTTGGGGTCGAGTAAGGGGAGTCAAGATTCACTGTGAGGGAGACGATGTGGGTTGGACATGACGCTTTACCTTATTAGAAGTATGTATTCTACAATGCATAGCTCTAAATGAAATCATGTTAACTATCATTCTAAAATTGCATAGAACAATTATATTTGAGCACAATATACCTTGACATATGGATATTTATCTATGATATGATGCATGAGATGATTTATCTATACTTTTATCGAGCACAAGGTAACCTTAAGAACATTGTCATATCCCTTTGATTTTTTTGGAGTTCTTCAAGTGTTATTTATTTTACCTAATTTATTGTTTAAACCTTCTTTTTTGTATATTTTGTTGACATTAGAAAATGAGTATTGACACTAGATTACCATATTGTAGTTTTCACATTGCTTAAACTTCGGGGTTTCAATGATATGATCGGGTAATTAGTTTAAGTTGGGGATAGATTCAGTGTTTGCTACAAAACTATGATGGTATATGTGTTCTGGTAAAATGTCAATACCACAATTTTCATTCTATTACTTATTTATTTTTGTTGTTCACAAATTGTTTTTGCAATGATAAATGTCTTCTAGGCCTTGCTTTTACTTTTAGCTTTAAATTTGTCATACTCTACCTAAATATGGGATTTATATTTATTTATTTTATTTAAGGAAAGTGTTTTCTAGTTTGAAACCATATGAAGAGTAGTTGTGGAATGTTTGTAATAGAATATAACTAATTATTCTTTAGAAAATTGAGCCTATTTTTTTTATTAGTAGCTATTGTCTGTTTAACAAATACTTTGCTCTCTAAGATAATGGAGAAAGGAAAATAGTAATCACTGTGTTTGGTTTGAGTTTTCTGGATTAAGTTTTTTGAAAACTGAGTTTTTTGATTTTCGTGTTTTTTTGTTTTTAGTAAATATTTTTAGATTTTTAGAATTTTAAAATTTTTTTTTACTTTTTTAGATGCACCTTACTTAGATGTGTCTAAAAAGTAAAAAAATTGTGAAAAAATATTTTAAAGAATTAAGAAATACATAAAAATACAAAAAATGTACTAAATTCTTGTATTTTTTTTTGTATTTTTAGTATTTAGTGAATTTTTAAAAGATTTTTTTTATAATTTTTTTACTTTTTAGGTGTATTTATGTTAGGTGTGTCTAAAAAGTAAAAAATTTGCATAAAATATTAAAAAAGTTCAGTAAAAACAAAAAAACACGGAAAATAAGAGTGTAGAATTTTCTGAAAACTGTTTTTAAAAAATGGGAACCAAGCAAAGTGAATAAGATTTTTTTTTTTGGTTTTAGAACATTGGGAGGCATGATAGCATGATTGTTTATAGTTTTTATTGAACAATTAATTAGTGTTGGCCAATCGATCCAATCAATTGCATAATTCATTGGTGGTGGACAATCCTTCCAATCAATTGGTGAATGGATTAGTGGTGGCCAAGCCATCCGATCAATCGGACAATTGATTGGACTGGCCAATTCCTCCAATCGATTAGTTAATCGATACTCTTGCAAAATTTTAGATGTGCAATCGATTAGTTAACTAATTTTGCTAAATTGTAGAAAAGTGCTCTTGGGTCTTTACAGTCTTGGTGGCTACCAATATTATAATAAGATACATGGCATTAGAATCCGTCTCATCATCTCCAATTCATGTATCATTACTTGGCTAAGGTATATATTATGCCTTTTAAGTGGAAATTATGTATTAAATAGTTGACCATTGTTCCTGGTGTGAGAATATATTGTGTATATTCTCAATTTGGCATGATTGTATAGGAATTAGGAATTAGGACAGATTGTGGTGCAAATATTTGAATTAGTTGTATTTCCTTTTTCAATCATAGGTTTAGGGTTATATAACCTGATGAACTTTTTGTAAATAAGATACATTGAATATACAGTTTCATTCAAAAATCTTACACCTGGATCATCTCCAATTCATGTAATTTGATTTTGTGGATGCTGCTTTGGCTCTTGTTTATTTTGACAATTTTCTTGTGCAAAAACAATTAGTTTTTGCATTCTTACACTGTTCAGATGGTAATATGGTCAAATGGTGTTCGATGAAATATTAGAAAGAGTTGCATGTCTGTCAATTTGGTGCATTGGCTTTGTGAGCTTTTGAATTCTAATCTGTTCGTATGAAGTCAAGGTTTTGAACCACGTTCATGTTTTTCAAATCTTTGTAATTAATGTATGTGTGGTGTCTCTAGGGAAGGGAAGATTCAAGTTTCTACTGGGCCAAGTTAGAGCTTTTGGGATGCTTGCTGGAGGCACTAGCATTACTCCAATGTACCTAACTTATTGATAAAAGATGAATAGCTTTCCACAAACAAGGACTCTTTCTTGTGTTGAACAAAAAAGGCCCTCAAAAGCAAATTTTATTCTTTTCAAATTTTTTTTTTCCCGATTGTTGATGTTTGGGATTTTATTGATTTTTGCAGGCTGAGAAGGCAGCATTTGATGAGGCAGAGAAGAAGAGAGAGGAGGAGGTATTATTTTTTGTTCATAATTGATCTATTTATGAACAGTGCCAGTTCTGACAGTTGTAAATCTATTGTCGATGCACAGTTGGCAAGCTAGGACAGCCATATAAACATTGCTCAAAACGGAAGACGCAATAAGTTTGCCGTTGCAAAAAGTATTTTCCACCCCCACATTGCATCCCCCATTTGCCGTCGCATGGGCTGTCGCAAAAAGAATTTTGTGACTATTTCTATTTTTTGCAACGGCTTTTAGCTGTCGCAAAAAGTACTTTTTTAGTAGCGAGAAGTGTGGCCTATCTGAAATTGCATTGATAAAAATAATAACTTCATTTATTTTCAAAGAGCAGTTGATTATCCCAGTTAAGATTCTAATATCATTTTGTATAGTGGGTTATATGCATCCTTCATTTGGATATGGCTTTATGGAGGTGGATGGTTAAACTGTTTTTGGAGGAAGAGGCTTATCAATGTAATGTAGGCTTTTGTGAAATATTTTTGATGTTGATAGAGATTGTATCTGTAGCAGGGATCTTTGTATTTGGCTTGAAGAATTATGAATATTTAACCATAGAGATTTATTCCTAAAAAAAACTACAGAGATTTAAACAATATTTGAATTAGATACAGTTAATATTGTTGCATGATTTTGCAAGAAAAGGCAATAAAGGGATTTAAGTGTAAATTGAAAATTTCGAAATCTGAAGCCCATAAAATGGGATTTTTTATCGCCTATGACTTCTCTCTAGCTTTATACCTCCCTATCATTAGTTGCACTTCACGTTCTTTCTCTACAAGAGTTACAACCAGATGCTGATATGCACACTGCTTCTGTTTCTTATTACCTTCGGCATTTTGGTAACTTGAAATACCCGTAGTCCGAATATTTTGCTGAATTATTGGGTTATTGGACCTTCTCTCTCACACCTTTTAAACGAGTGATGGGGGCTATTTAACTTGCAATCCCAGTCCACTCAAATATGATTCTACCACGAATGTTGCCCCCAAGCTGGGCAAATCATCCGATTAAAGGTTCGTCGTCTCTACGGAGTCCACTCCAATTTCACTGAGCATTATTGCGGCTCGTCTTCCACGATTGTTTCAATGAGGTGAAATTTCTTGTTCTCAATTCTTGATATTTCTTTTTCTTCCTAATTTTTTCCCAAGGAAAAGAAATCCATGGTTTTTTTGTTTTCAATGCATGTCCTTTACCTTTTGCACGAATTTTGTTATTTGTCAATTGGCTTGAGCCCTCCAACTTCTTTCTCTGATGTCATTGCAATTCAAATTCTGTGTTATTTATTCTGGATTGCTTTGTTTTGGTGACTAAGGAAACTCAGGAAAACAAAAGAAATTGAACACTGAAAAAGGATTATGATATAAAAGGTTGAAGAAAGACACTTACACCTAACTGTGTACTTTGTTTCATTTTCTGAGTAGGTGCTCATAACATTGGAACAATTCACTCCAAATTCATCCTCAACCAGCTTTTTGAGAGATTAGGATCAAAGGCAGTAGTGTGTAAACATAACCACACAAAATCTGGAAAGGAATATTGGGTTCTTCTTCCCTATTTGTGAGTGCTAATTCATTCCTTCCATTCTTCAGTTATTGTGTTTCTTTGATATGTGAGGTTTGATGGATATTAGATTTCATTACAAGTTTATTACAGATATGGTTTTTTAAGATTTTCAGGACAATGAAATCTTTATGAAAGCATGAAGTGCTAATTATGTTTTATATTAAACTGCTCTACTATTGTGAAATTCTATTATATGACAATGATTAAAAAGGGATTAAGGAATTACTGGCAAGAATAAAATTAGCCAAGGCTAAAAGATATACATATGGCTCTGAAAATCAATATCAGTGTATTTGAAACTTTAGAAATATTTTAATCGATCAATAAAGAACATAATTTTGGTTGAGAGTGGACTTGGACCAAGTTTGGGGTTACTGCCCCCTAAGTGCAGCAGCAATTCCCATGCCACAAAATGACACAGCTTTGCTTGCTTTTCTATTTTCTTATTTGGTTAGACACATTTTTGAGGACAAAAGATCTAAGTAGTGTTTGGAGCATAACAAACAAATTTCTGATGTTTGCTTCATATATGTATGACAAAAGATCTAAGTTTTGTTTGACTTTATATTAAATTATGTTTGCTTCATACCCGTATTGCTCCAAGGGCATCAAATCTTATTATACAATGAGTTTAGTTAACCTAAAAATTTGTGGTCAATGGATGTCTTCCACAGCCAGCTACATGGCATTCCATTGTCCACCCAACTACGATTTTCCTGCATGCACCAGGGGAAATTTGACAATGTTAGAAGTTGTAGTTGTCTTCTTCTAAAACCTGCTTCCGCATTTTGCTCATTCATTAGTTTTATACCAATTTAATTTTAAGCACGTTAAATTGAATGTTGTTATTTTCTTCGTTGTTAATTTCCCTGTGCTATTGTTGTCTTGTTTATTAACATTGCAGTGTTCTCATTTCCTCTTAGAATTGAAGATATATTCTCATTAAGTGGGTATTGACTGCAGAAAGAGGCTTCTTCATTCTCTTGCACTGGTTTTTGGTTGTATAATTGCTTCATCTTCGGTATGTGCTTCAATGAGCTCTTTCCTCTTCTTTATTTTTATTTTTATTTTTATTTGTAATTATTATTATTTTTGGCCATGTTGGTGGATTCTGAACTGGTTTCCTCCTTGCCTTTATTTTCCTGCCTTGTCCTCAGTTTGGATGGGTAGACTGTTTTTATTAATTCTGCAACATAGAATCTTGTTTGTATGTTTCAACCTCTTGAGACTTTATGATATTTGAGCACAATTTACCTTGACATATAGATATTTATTTTTGATTTGTGGCATGAGATGTGATGATTTATGATGGATATTAACCAATGTAAATTGGAATGAAATATGATAAAAATGGAATGAGAAAAGATTGAGATAATGAGAACGTTGGTTTTGTGATACTTCCACTCTCTTAGATTTAGATTTGAGGGTTTTCATGTTTTTTTTGTTTTAGATTCTACTTGCGAAGGATCTTGGGCGGGCCGTCTGTAGCTTGGAAGGTAAGGTGTTCTAGGAATTTTTTGTCATCAATATATTTAAATCAATCTTATTCAATCTGCAATTACAAGTGCAATAGTATTGATTTTTTAATTTGTTAATAAAAATAAAATTTCACCTTTTTACTTCAAAAGCCAAATGCTCAAAATTTTAATTTTGCTCTGTCCACACACAAACTGACTCACTTATAGCTTGTATAGACCTACATATTTTTCACATAACACAAAAACACATTAGCAGTTTAATAGCCAAGATACATTCACCCAGGACTAGTTATTATCAGCTTTTGACTTCTTTGAAATTTGTTATTGGTTAATTGAGAATTTAACTTGTTTGAGGTACAAGATAAATATTTATTGAAGTTGATAGGGTTAGTAACTTAGTAAAGTGATTTGAAGACCAACCTTTTTTACTTTTATTTTTTATATCTGACTTGAATTTCTAATTGAGTTGGATATCAAGCTTTCTTTTGAATCACGAAGAATTTTCTTCAATCTTGTAGTGTCATGAAACCTTAGCTGCAACAGAAAAAGGAAACCAAACCAAAAAAAAAAGGAATTAAATTTTTTAAACAAACTTGTCCTCATCTATGAAAATGCAATATCTATTTCTTGTTACTAGCTTCTTGTTGTCTGCTATATTGTAAATATGTTTTATTTTATGTATTGTTAATAAATAAGGAAAATAAGCATCATGTGCATTCAAGTGATGTCCCATATATTTTGCACCAAGAATGACTCTGAAATAAATTTCCAGGTCAAATTGGGAGGAGTCCGATGCAAAAGTACTTTGAAGAAGCAGCACAAGTGCTGAAGCTAGATTCATGAATTGACATTGAAGAAGCAGCACAAGTATTGAAGCTAGATTCATGAATTGACATGGTGGCTATTTGGAATCTTCCTAATATTTTATATGTAAAAACTGTTAGGCAAATTATTGTTGATTTTCTCGTTATTTATTTATTTATTTATTTTGAATTCAAAAATATGTAGAATTTACATTTTCAATAAATTTGTGTATAAGCTCTCTAGTTTTTGTAAGTGGCAAAATATTGTTGAATTAATTGAATTTCCATATTTGTTAGTTGAATTTTTTTTATATATTTGGATGAAAATAGAATTCTAGCTAATTTTGTTATTAAAGATATTTCATTATATTCACAATCTGTTATGGTGAAGATTTTTTTGTAATTGCCAGCTCTTTGATAGCATTTCTTGAATACTATGATATACTTTTCATAGTTGAATGAATTCAATAAAAAATGTAAATCTTAGCCACATGACCCAAGAGATCTTAGCCACATGACCCAAGAGCTTTTAGCCACCAATTGTTTTTCTTTCTTTTGAGAAGGTTGCTAACTTGATCAGACACTAGTTTGCAACTAATTGCTTCTATGATGCATTTTACAAACCTCTTAAATGCAAAAAAATATAATTTGCAAGAAGAATTATGTCAACATCAAAAGAATAATTGGATTATGCAGACAATTGATTTCCCCACAATTAAGTTGGAATGACAAATGGTTACATAATCGATTACACAATCAATTATAAACACTTTGTTTGAACTTGGTTTCATGAATATCCCATATAAGTATAATTGATTGGCTCGCAATGTGTTGTGGCTTGTATGTATAATCAATTCAATTGCCAAAGTCTACTTGGACAAAGACTTGTGGCTTGTATGCATAATTGATTGCCCTAAAAAAATTGGTCTATAGTGTTGGTAAACTTGCCATAGCCTAATGCAACTCAACCAATTTTTAAAGTGGTTGACTAACATCAAAGCAAAATCTCCCTTGATTGGTAAGGACACTAGATTAGCATAACACAAAATACATTAACAAGCATAAACAAGATTATCAAAACCCATGTAGCCATTACAATACCCAAAAAAAAAAAAAAAAAAATGAAGTCAAAACTCATTTTGTTCCAATCATAAACATTGTCAATATAATTCAATTGTTATATGGAAACCATTGCCAAGAATCACAACCCAATCCAGAAAGAGTCATGAAGTCGATCTGCGAAGACATGGCACTTGTGCAGATTTACATGTGCAAATAAGAAATGGCACGCACTTGTGCGTATTTATTGCCCAATTTGATGTCAATGAACCTCTACTAGTGCTCCTTCAACAAGCACTTCAATTTATACTCTTTTATCTTCTTGCATACTATTTCTTTTCAACCTGCTTTCACAAAACCTACAATGACTAAATATCTGTTTTGATCACTCGCCTTTTGGAAATCTAATTCTAAGACACGCATTTGATAAGAAAAAAAAATAACAAAAGAAAGGTCTAGTCACTATCACTATTGATCCCTTCTTTTACTAAATAAAAGAAGTGCCAAAATAAAATAAAATAAAATAAAAATTCAAATAAGAAAAAACAGAACAAAGAAGAAATGAAATAAGATTCAACAAATGCTTCTCCAAATTAAATTCATGAGTTAAAACTCCATTCTACATCACTTGTGAGTCAACATTTCACACCTGAACTTAAAAAAGCTATTTTTTATTTGTTTCTTGTGAGTCAACAGTTTAATAACATCAATGACAATTCTACATTATGCATTCACATTGCAACTACTATAGAATCCACAAAAGCCCCATAAAAAATAAAAAAATAAATAAAAAATTTAAATAAATTCTCTCAGTAAGAAGAACCTCAGGATGGCCTTGAACACAAACTAGAAAGTTTTAGCCTCTGCATTAAAGATTAGAGGAACTGGGAATAACCACCAAAATAGAGGAAACTAACACATTGGAACCATATAAACTTTAAGCCCTTCTAGAATATATATACATCTAGCTGCCATTATGGAGCCAACAGAGAAACTAACTTGTGAATGACCCTCATTCATTGCAGGGAGAAGGTTTGTGAATGGCAATCAAATATAATTAAAACAGCAAACGGAATAAAAAAAAATCTACCTCAATATCTTACCATATCGTGACCAAACGTAAGTGGAAGAATTTCCTGCGAGAGATTGTCTTTAATTTTCAAAGCATTTGGTTAAGTGTTCAGTTTCAGAGTAAACGACAACAAAGTTTTAGGATCCAAAACCTGTACAAAAAAAGAAAAAAAAGAAAAAAAGCCAAATATCAAGGAGATTGTCTTTAATTTTCAAAGCATTTGGTTAAGTGTTCAGTTTCAGAGTAAACGACAACAAAGTTTTAGGATCCAAAACTTGTACAAAAAAAGAAAAAAAAGAAAAAAAGCCAAATATCAAGGAGAAGATTCATATTAGGTATAGGAAAACACACCACCAACCTTGGCCAACTATTATTTTTTTCTCTTTAACCCCTCTTTAAAATCAGTAACTCTCCTTGGTAGCTTCCTTTGATTTTCTAAAGCAAGGGTTCATAACTCAAATCTAAAGGTATGCGATAAAACAAAGTAGACAAACACATTTGAGCAAAGATCTAATACCGACAAATCATAAAGGACTGTAAACATAACCAAAGGTTAGACCAAACAATTGAAGAGTCTCTATAGGAATTAAAGAGCTTCTTGATTCTAATGTGGCTGTGTGGGGCATTATACTATGCCCAAAATTTACATTCCTTTCACAAACACAACATAAAGTACTATTAAAAGAATTCCTATTAAAATTTTGTACCTGAAAGTAAGTACTATTAAGTCATATTAGATGCATGTGTATATATTATCCAAACTCGTTTGATGCCATAACAAGATATCAAACAACTGAAATAGAAAATCAAGATCCAAAGCCAAAAGTGAAGCATAGACCATATCTTGGAATTATCAAGTAAAGCTTGGATCACAAATGAATATTCCAGACCTATACATAATGAAGTTTTGACAAATGCTTTACTATCCAGCAAAAGCAAATGAACTAGTTTTAGCACAGCAAGGCCAGACAAAGGAAAGGCAATCTAAGGCAAAGGCAAGCCAAGGCCAACACATCCAAACCCAAGGAAATCCAAGGCCACCCCAAGGGCAAGGAAATGCAAGGCCACCCCAAGGACAAGGCCAAAAGACAAAGCTAAGGAAGTTTAAAGCCACCAAGGTTAAGGCAAGCAAAGGCCACCACAAGGTCAAGGCCACCAAGGGTAAGACAACCAAGGGCAAAGCCAAGGTTGAACAACAAGAAGCAAGGTCACTAGGAACAAATCCAAACGGATTTTTAGAGAGAATAATTAATCAATATTGTTATGATTGACACCTATATGAACATTATCATGGCATATCAATATCACGATAGTCACTAGCAATGCAGCCACTGCCTCTTCCTACCAAAAAATCACGGACATGTGACACAACATGAATACGACAAGCACATGGCAATTTTAAAAAAATTTCGCACACTACATGTGGAGACATGCACATAATATATAATTTTATATATTAATTATGCTATGATTTATGATTCCAAGATAAAATTTGGCCATAAACCTCTCCTAGCTTCCTTTTCTTGTTAAAAGGACATATATATATATATACAGTACTTTCTTTTTTTTTAATCAGCAACAAAAAGATAAATTTTATTAAGGCCCAAGGCCAAAAAGGAGAGGATAAGGCATCCTCCACAAAGAAAAAGAAAAAATACATCCAAAAAGACAACCACACCAAAAGACAACCAAAACTACACAACTATACAGCACAAACCGACACCCAATTTGAAGCAATCAAAAAAAGAAGAATCCCTCAGAACACAGGACTTGCCGAGGCCCAAAAAGACGCCAAATAACACACTCTATCCCATAAATAATCTATATCCCTAGATCCTCCTTCAAAAATATGCCCATTCCTCTCCAACCAAATGACCCAAGAGATTGCAAAGACTACACTACTCCAAACAACTTTAGCCCTCTTCGACCTTCCAAAGACTTGAAAATCAAATAATAGCATTTCAGCAAAACCTCTAGGAGCCACCCACTGTACATTGCCCAAACCAAATACCCGATTCCACAAAAGCCCCGCCACCGAACAATGCAAAAAAAGATGATCCAAAGATTCTCCACTTTTGCAACACATTATGCACCATTGAGGACTAAGATACCATGAAGGTCTCCTCCTTTGCAATGAATCATTTGTCAAAGTTCCCCCATGAACCAAAATCCACATGAAAACTTTCACCTTAAGAGGAGCACATGCCTTCCAGATCTCCTTATATATAGTACTTTCAAAATCTCCTTATAATTATAAAGTCCTAAATGAAGGACAAAAAAATATAATACTTTCAAAACCTCCTCATAGTTATAAAGTCCTATATGAAGGACAAAAAAAATATAGTCCTTTTCTTGTTAAGGTTTGCCGTCTCTACGATGTCCGCTCCAAATCATCCGATTCAAGTGTTTAAGATAGGTGTATGAAAGATTTTATCCTTCAATAATGGACCAAGAATGGAGGAATTTCCAAGGGCTAGGACCAACAGTTTAGAAGGCAATGAAATGAGGGGAGAGGTTTTCTTGGCTATGCAAAATCCTACAATTTCTTTATCTCTATTATTCTTTAGATAAATATTGTGCTACCCTACACCCATCAGTACTCCGCAATTGATTGAAGTGTTCTTGTAATAATATAATCACATCAGCCTATGTTCTGTTAGCAATTAAAAGAAAACAAAGAATATAAGACACCAACCAATGTTTTGCTATCTATTAATTAAAAAAGACAAATAAATAAGCACACCCACTAATGCTATACTAGAAATTAAAATAAAACAAATAAATAAGCATACTCGGCGAGTACTCTGCTATCAACTAAAATCAAATTAACAAATTTTAGCACACTCATGCCAGTGCTCTAGCATCAATTACAAACAAAAAAGAATTTTAGCACACCCGGTAGTGCTATGCACAATATAGCTCCTTGATGAGAACATTATATATACATAAAAGAGTAAAAAGCACACCCTCTAGTAACTCATGGGAACTAAAAAAAATTATACCTTTGTTTGTATCAGAAGAATAAGAAATTGAGGACCTACGACAATGCTTTGCTAGCAATTAAAGGCAAACAAATAAATAAAGCACACCCGCCAATACTCTGCGATCAACTAAAATCAAATTAACAAATTTTAGCACACTCGTTGTGATACCCCTGTCCCGTAATATGCTAATTGGTTCTTAATTTGAGCATGATTATGTGTTTAGCATGATTTTATGTGCCATTATGTGAATATTTGTGATTTTGAAGTCTTATCTGTTCACCGTAGGAATACCTGTCTGAATAATCTGTTTTGGAAATTAAATTGAAGGCCTTATCGGCCACGGAACCCGAAATTGATTACGCCATTATGATTGGCATAATTTTTAGAGCCTACGGTGAAATTTAATTGAAAATTGATTTAGGTCAGATTAAATTGGTTTAATTGATGAATTGAGTACCCAATTATTTTATGTTGAAATAATATGTGAGAGGGGCTATTATAAACCTTATTAAAAAAACCAATTCCTTCCCTTTACATTGATTTTGGGCCAATCAACTCTAAGAGAAGAGGAGGGCTGGCTATTAGAGAGAGGGAGGGGAGAAAAATCTAAGTTTTGCACTTGATCCATGAATGCCTTGAAGATAACACAAGAATTGCCATAGATTGTGAAGATTAAACTCCTTGGTGAGTAGTTCATGTAATTTTTTTACAATCATTTTGTGAATTCAAGGTTGAAAGAGGGTCTAGAGCATGGGATTGTTTGACCACAAGGAAACTGAGTTGAATTTGTTATAATGGAGACCCATACATGCATGCATGTGTGTGATTGTCTTGAATATTGCATGTTTTGAGCTCAAAGGGGTATGATCCATGTAAATTGTAGTTGAAACTCATGTTTTGATCACCAATTGTGCATCTAAGTTGAGAACGTGGCTAATTCGTCACATGCATGTACAGATTATGAAGACATGGGCTTGAATGTATGAATTTGTTATGTTAGAATGAGTTTGATGGGAGATTGGGGCATGCATGTGAATTAATTGTGAATTGAGCTTCATTGGGTCGTGAATTGGGGTTTGCATCATGTTAGTATGATTATATTTGATATTTGAGCCGTTGCATGCAAGTAATGTAGCTGGAAAATCGATTTGAAGCTCAAGAACACAACCTAGAATTTCCAGAATTTTGACTTCCGCTCGAGCGGGGGAAGGGCCGCTCGAGCGGAGAAATCGTGCTCCCAGCACTTTTTGCAGAAATGGATGTATGCTCGAGCGGGATATCTCACGCTCGAGCGAGGAGATTTTGTAAACAGGCCTTCCGCTCAAGCGCCCTAACTCACGCTCGAGCTTAATTTTGAAGTAACTAGTACTTTTGCAGGCCCCTTGGGTTCGCTCAAGCGGGGGAGTCCACGCTCGAGCGGGGACCCTGTTCTCTGAAATTTTATATGCTCGTTTTGTGTTTTGTTTTCCGTTCTCCTTCACTTGTAAGCACTCTTAGGCATGTGTTAAGCATTGTCAATGAGTAAATGAGATAAGAATAAAGCCTAAAGAGGAATATGTAAATTAAAGAACGGGTTGAATTGATAATGACCCTTTTGTGTTCATGGAATGTGTAGGGTCAAGCTCTAGGGCGAATCCACAAGCCGATCACTGTGAGTAATAACGATACTTGAAAGCTTGTCAATGTCGAATTGTTATTTCCCTTATAAGCTTTATGAGTTGCTAATTGGGATTGTGGACAAAAGTCTAACATTATAGAAATGAATGGACCGAAGGTCGTTTTGATAGAAATGAATGGACCGAAGGTCGTTTTGATAGAAATGAATGGACTGAAGGTCGTTTTAATAGAAATAAATGGACCGAAGGTTGTTTTGATAGAAATGAATGGACCGAAGGTCGTTTTGATAGAAATGAATGGACTGAAGGCCGTTTCGACATGAATGAGTGGGCCGAAGGCCGTTTTGACCTAAGTGAATGGACCGAAGGTCGTTTTGACACGAATGTATGGGCCGAAGGCCGTTTTGACGTAAATGAAGGGGCCGAAGGCCGTTCTGACATAGGTGAATGGGCCGAAGGCCGTTTTGACATGAATGGAAATCTGATTGGGCCAAAGGCCAGTATGTTTGGGACTACAGTCATTTGATTTGAATTTTGTATAAGTGTATATATATATTAAGCAGAAATATGCATTGGGCCCAAGGCCGTTCGGAGCATGTTGTTCTTCATACAGCTTATGTAATTTATGTATTCAATATTATTCACTGGGCTATCTCTCATGCTCATTCACGTGTTTGTAGGTGAGCCGAGGGAAGTCCAAACCCAGCCCTAGTGAAGTCTGCCAGGAACAACATGAGTTTTGAGAAAGTCAGCCTTGTGTCTCACGCACGAGACCTATCCTTGCCATTTTGTTATGTAACTATATTTTGTCTTGCTGGCAAGGACTTTATGTATATCTGTAATTAGTCTGTCATGGGTTGACTTAGTTGGATGATCCTGTTTGAAAAGAATTTTATGGTGCTGTACTTTTGACGTGGGTTATTAACGTATGTGAGTATGGTTTGTCTTGAAATGCATATAAGCACGGCTCTATGGACAAAGTTTTTTATTATTGCTTCCGTTCGGCCCCCTTTACTCTGTTGGGTTATGTCTATTTTGGTTTGAGGCTATAGGTAATCTCAGGATTACTGGCCGGTTACGTCCTTAACCCATAGGAGGCGGGTTTGGGTCGTGACACTCGTGCTAGTGCTCTGGCATCAATTACAAACAAAAAAGAATTTTAGCATACCCGACAGTGCTCTATATAGTATAGCTCCCTAATGAGAACACTATATACATAAAAGAGTAAAAAGCACACCTGCTAGTAGCTCATGGGAACTAAAAAAAATTACACATTTGCCTGTATCTGAAGAATAAGAAATTGAGGGCCTACGGCAAAAGGCAACAACAAGTGAAGATGTGAGTTAGTACATGGCACTTGAAGCTAGTAAAATGATTTTTAATATAAATGTGAAGGCAAGTCGTAGCTTGGAGACTTAAGAGCAAATTATAGACTTCAAAGCAAATAAATATACTTAATTATGATTTTTGAAATGATCGTAGGTGCCATGGTTAAGCCTAGCCACTTCTTGTGTGTGACTTGAGTAATGTTTATCTCCTTTCTAGTTTGATGAAAATCTTTGATAAGGAATGCCTTGAGGTTAGTTTTGGAGGATTTATTTATGTAACATCGAAAAGTCAGTTTTAAAGGGAGTACATTAAGTTCTTTCAAAAGTTTAATAATTAAAAAAAAAAAAATCTATTTGTCAGAAATTAGAAGCTGCAATTATAGTTCACATTCCTTTTTTCTCAGCTAGTATTGAACCAAGCAAACATATAGGACTAATCTAGTAATAGTTCATAAAATATGTTTCTAAATTCTAATTTCTATAAGGCTTGTCATTTCTGGGGTAATTCTTTTAGTGAATAAACATAATTACCCGAGTCAAGTTTCCTTGTTGAATCTGAGGACAGTTTTTTCCCCATTCATAGTCATTTGACTTGGCAAAAGCTAGGAGTATTTTGGCAATAAGAGAGAAGTCTCAAATCACAAACCCACCTAACCTTGTACTTACCCACCTTGCTACTATGTGTGCACACATGCAATCTAGAATAACCATAGAACTCTTGAACAAAAACAAAAACAAAATAGAATATCCATTTTCAAAATCGTAAAGCAAACATATAGGACTAATCTAGTAATAGTGCATAAAATATGTTTCTAAATTCCAATTTCTATAAGGCTTGTCATTTCTGGGGTAATTCTTTTAGTGAATAAACATAATTACCCGAGTCAAGTTTCCTTGTTGAATCTGAGGACAGTTTTTTCCCCATTCATAGTCATTTGACTTGGCAAAAGCTAGGAGTATTTTGGCAATAAGAGAGAAGTCTCAAATCACAAACCCACCTAACCTTGTACTTACCCACCTTTCTACTATGTGTGCACACATGCAATCTAGAATAACCATAGAACTCTTGAACAAAAACAAAAACAAAATAGAATATCCATTTTCAAAATCGTAAATCCCCCTGAATAAATAAGCATCAACCAAGAAGATTGGAAACATAATAATGAAGTTGAGATTGAATTTCTAGAAAATAAACTTGGAACACAAAAATTAGGAACGGGAAAAAAAATAACGATGGTGAAAGTAGAAAAATCAATGCAGGCTTAAGAACAAAACATATGATGTCATTCTTGAAATACATCAAAATATTCAAACAATTTAACAAAATTTACAAACACTCTACAAGTTGATAAAAACACAAAACCACATGTACTATTCTTAAGGGTAAAACACTTGATGTAAAATTCTATCAACATTTAGCATTTAAATAAAAATCAAAACCAAAATCTCTCTATCTCATATGATCATCTATTTTATATAGAGTTAGTGTACTATATGTAATTATGTGGCCACTCTGTTCCTTGGGACAACACTTTGGAAAATTTAAAATCTACTCAAAACAGTAAAGGGTGCTGAGCTGACTATTGTTATTCCGAATTTGGATAATGGTGTTTATGGTGGGTTCAACAAGAGAAAGAACCAAAATACTAGGATGGTGTGTTACTTCAAGTATTCTCAAAACAAAACCCAACATTAATTTTATTAAAATTATGAAGTAATGGAATGTAACTAGTAAAGGTAACACATTAATTTAATATCTAATTTGACATAAAATTGAGTTTGGCATAAGAAACTCACAAAATCCATCAAAATACGATAATTACATAAGGTTATTTGTACACAAATTTCAACCAAAAACTAGCTTGAGCGTGATACCCAATTCAAGGTAATATAGTATCTCACAATAAAAAATAATAATTGCATATGATCATATTCTCTCTCTCTTTTTGTTTTTTTTTTTGATCAGCAAACAAGAGAGCACTTTATTAATGATAAAATAGAAGTACAACAAAACCAACAAGTAGGAGTAAAAATTGCGTCATAGCAAATCCATATCCATCTCATCCCAACTAGGTTGAAAGAAAGCAAAATCATGTGCAAGCTCCACCAAGAGAAAACAAAGTGGTTTGCAAGAGACCAACTACAGCAAGAGGAAGGAAAGAAAAAAAAAACAAAAACAAAAACAAAAACAAAACAAAACCATACTCTTGCAGCCCAACACTAAACCCCAACGACACCAAACTGCCATAAGGCATCCCAAAAGCCAAGTAAACAAAGGCAATAGATTAACAACAACACAGCAGCAGCAACAAAAAACCAATGTGATGATCAACCTCACAGCATCATCAAGCAACATTTAATTTCAGCAGCAAACATTAAGGCGCCAAAAATTCAATCTCAGCACTAAAAGCAGTTCACAGCTTCATGTTCTTTATGTCTCCTTTTTTCATTTTCCATTTTCTGTACATGAGCATGGATGATTTTGGCTCTTCTTAGCTGTAGCTTTTTTTTCTTTTTCTTTTTTTTCATTTCTATTTCTATCCAACAACAAAGGAGATGACAAAGGAAGCTATACATAAAAAGATCAAGTCAAATTCATCAATTCAGTTTTGTGCATGTCCCCCCTTCAAATTTTATTTATTTATTTATTTATTTTATTTTATTTATTTTCACTAACAACAAAAATGAAACATTAATAACCAAAGCAACAATCATACATGAAAATTCCTAGAACCTCAATACAAAAATCAAATTCATGGGAATAATTATAACATTATAATAAGATTTTTAATCATAGATACAATATAAACATAAAATAGAAGGGCATAGACATAAAGAGAGAGAGACCTATGTTCGGCATTGTCAAAACCAGAACTGGAATCAGAGAAATCAATAGGAACAACGGTGTGGTCGGAGCTGTAAAGGTCCTTGCTGGTGACATCTGGGGTTTGATCATCAATACATTTGGCCCTCAAATGGAACTCGACAAAGCAAAACTCACACTGACCGTCACCGTCGCCGTCGCCGTCGCCGTCGCAGTCGCAGTCCCTTCTTGGAGAAGTGCATGCTCATTGCTCGGTTGCTGGTGATTGGGATGAGACCTAGGCGGTGAGAGCAGCAAGTGGAGAACCGACAAAGTGAGAGCAGCAAATGGAGAGAGCAACGGAGAGAGAGAGATGAAAGAGTGAGAGGCCTTAACCGGTTAACCCGGTTGCCTATTTTCCATTATTAAACAATTGAATGGTTGTGATTAAGGCCAAGTTTGGGAAGACTAAAAAAGTGTACTTTTTGTCTTTTTGGACTAAAAAATTGAGGTTGAAAATATGGATGTTTGGGTTAAGTTTTTGACTTTTTATTGAAAAATGTGTAATAAAAAATTGTAAAAATTGATTTGTATGGAAAAATTTGAATTGGGAGTTGTGCAGCCGTAATTGTTGACTTTTGGTGAATAGTGTTAACTTTTTAGCTTCTTGAGTAACTTTTTAGCTTTTTGGCTTTTTTGGATCTTCCCAAACTTGGCCTAAATTTAAGTAATCTTAGGGTTTAGAATTAATTTTATATTTAAATTATTCAATTTTATATCAATTTTACCTCTACCATAATTAAACAAAAATTGTTGATGTGACACTATTTGAAATTTTATTTTTAATTGATATTTTAAAGATAATTTGGGAGGTAAAATAAAGTTTTAAATGAAATTTGGGTGTCACATTATTAATTTCTGTTTGATTATAAACGGAAGCTAACGATGGAGGTAAAATTTATCTAAAATCAAATAGTTTAAATATAAAATTAATAATATTAAAAGAATAAAAATTGAATTATTTTTTTAGTGATAATTTAAGAGTTAAAATGATATTTTCCTGTAATGATTTGTATTTCACAAGGTTGCAGATGACATTAATTAATGAGAATTCAAATATCATACGATAGGTAGTAATTAGACCACAACATTACATAAATGAGTTATTCACTTATTTCATTTACATGTACGTAAGATGGTATTACCTCGTGATTACCATTTGTTAAGCTTCTAATTTTGATTAAAACAATAATGTGGTCTACACTTTTTGACACTAATGTTTCGTTTATTTGGGAGAAAATGTAAATTAGTGCTTTAATGAAATAAGGTTATCTGAAATGTAAGAGGCACTTATTAGTGCTTTAATGGATTAATGTTATTTTTAGTCATCAAAATTATGGACGAAATCAAAATTTTATCATCGGAAAATTTTATCATTGGAAGAGTTAAAATTTGAATAAAAAATATATACAAAAGTGCATCCAAATATTCCATCTAAGCATCAAAAGAGAAATGTTGACCAAAAAAATACAGTTGAAGAAGTTAACAATTATCGTGCCGTTGGATTGGATTCTTTTCCTCTCTCCAAATAGAAAATTTGCAAACCTAATATATCTTGCCATATATGATTGTCATAGTTTTTATGCTTGCGCTCTTCTTCCTCCTTGTAAGTTATCTAATGACCAAGATAAAATGCTCCTAGAAGAAAACTAAGGGCCAACAAATTGAATACCACCACTCTATCATCACCGCCGCAACTCCACCACCATCACCTAATGTTATTTGTACTTTGATTAATAAGGAAAAGAAATAAATTTGAACATAAATAATTAATAACACAATGATACACCTTCAAAATAAAATACAACTTCACCTAATCCAAATCAATGCTACAAAGAAGCCTTTACAACCACAAACAAAATAGAACACCCAAAAAAAAAATAAAAAAAAAATAAATCAAAACAGCAGTAGAATTTCATAATTCAATTGGAAAGGAACCAAAATAATATCAGAAAACAAGAAATTAAATCACAATTGGCAAAGACCCAAAGTCAACTTATTCGTATAGTAATTGATTCAGCCACCACAGCAGAGTGTAACTTTTTCACAAATTTTATTCGTATAGTGAATTTTTGCAATTCACTTTGATAACCTTTGGTTCATATTACACAAGTAAATCAAAATTTTGTTTCTCTTTTCATCTTTTTCCCCATTTTCTAAGCAACTAAAAGAGCGTAAACGGAATCTGCGCACCAGATTCGATTCCTCGATACTAAAATTAATAGTACTTGTCAGAGATTTAAAGCAAATAAAGAAAAGAAAAATACATAACCTTTGTGTTGGAGAGAATAGGGGACTCAAGCAACTACATTGAACTAATGGGGCTCATGATGCACAGGAACCCCGAATGAAGATGAACACTAATTTAAACATTTACGAAATTCATAGATGCATTTCAACATTTACAAATTTTCCATTAAATGCACCTCCAACAAAGGAAAAAAGGAAGCAAATTCCACTAACTAGGAAACTCAACAAAGAAGGTGAAGGGGGTAGAAAACTTGTGTCAAAAAAAAGAAAAAAATATGTTGCAATGTGTAACTTTAACATGTATATTATGCTACTGACTTTGATTTCCCTTACTCTGCCACTAATTACCCCACGCTTCCTCTTGGCTTTGACAATCTCCTAGAAATTGGAAAAGCAAATAAAATTGTAATTATATTCTAAAGTCATCAATAATTACCCTAAATACTATTCTCATATCAATTTTACATCTCACAATGTTAAATAGAAAGATCCAATCGTCTACAGCCAACCCAATTTCTAAATATCTATATTCTGAAATTGTAAAATTGGTGAGATTTTGTCTTTCCCCCTGAACTTTCTACATTTTATTAAATTAATACAGATGAACTAGAACAATGACATATTTCTTGTAAATATTAGTATGAGTACTTAACTTAGGAAATTCCGCACCCCATCTTCAAAGAATTGTTATATTTTTTCTGACTCCATAACAAGTTCCCTATTACCAAAGACATGTGCTGATTTGTTTTCTTTTCTTATCATTTTTTTTTAGGAAGGAGGGGTTGGGTTGGGGGACTACATCCAACACAAATTTATGATTAAAGTCAACATTACTCCCTTAACTATATTCAATTTTATTTTTCTTCTTTACCTTAGTTCATATCCTCATGGCTTCAATTTTTGTCTATTTTTGTGTGTGCACATGTGTGTATTAAAGTTCACTATCTTCTCAATAGAAGAAAAAAAAATGTAGCTATCTAATTGTTGATAAAAAATTAGAAGGGAAAAAAAAAAAAAAGAAACAGGAAAAAGAAAAATTAAGCTTTGGTTTATATACTTTTTTTTTATTCAAAAAGATTGAAGCAAAAATATGGTTCCAAAATACAACAAATACAAGCAAAGAAATAAAGTGGCACACTCGTAAGTGCCTTGCTTTCAATTAAAAGAGAGCGAATACTAGCAAACAAATAAATTGACACCCTCCAGTGTCTATTTTTGTGTGTGCACGTGTGTGTATTAAAGTTCACTATCTTCACAATAGAAGAAAAAAAAAATGCAGCTATCTAATTGTTGATAATAATAATAAAAAAAAACTAGAAGAAAAAAAAACATAAAAAGAAAAATTAAGCTTTGGTTTATATAATTCTTGTTGTTCAAAAAGATTGAAGCAAAAATATGGTTCCAAAATACAATAATACAAGAAAAGAAATAAAGTGGCACACCCGCCACTGTCTTGCTTTCAATTAAAAGAGAACAAATACTAGCAAACAAGTAAATTAACGCACCTGCAAGTGCCCTACTATGAATTAAAAATAAATAAATAAATAAATTGACACACCCATCAGTGCCCTGTTATCAATTAAAAGAAAGCAAAAAAATACATTGGCACACCCACCAATGCCCTGCTATCAATTAAAAGAAAACAAATAAATAAATTGGCACACCCGCCAGTACCCTACCATAAATTAAAAGAAAGCAAAGAAATAAAGTGGTATACCCACCAGTGCCCTAGTATCAATTAAAAGAAATAAAATACAAGCAAATAAATAAATTGGCACACCCACTAGTGCCTTGCTATCAATTAGAAAGCAAAGGAACGCACATAAATTAGCACACCTGTCAGTGCTACTGCTAGGAGGAAGGGAGGTATACCTTTACTTCTATTTAAAGATGGTGAAATTGAGGACCTGCGACAAAAGAAAACAGAACATGAAAGTGAGAGTTAGAAAATAAGACAATGCTTAAGGAAATTTAAGATTATGGGGAGAAAGGGTATAACATATATATGACGAATGTCATTTTGCACATGTCCTTTCACATTAACAAACCATTTACACAAACACACAAATATAATCATTTAGCTCTTGAAGTAATACATTTAATTTCATCATAAATTGTAAAACTGCATATAAATCCAATCCAAGATTACTTTGAGCTACAAATTTTCTATAGATTGAATATAAACAAATAATTTATTATTTTTTAAATATACATTCCGCAATCATTGCCATTGGATCCGCAATTATATGAAAGTCCCTATGTTTTGAAAAATAGACCATAACCTTTTCCAATTCCTAGAATAGAAAGCAGACTTTGTGTTGGGGAATAACCATATTATATGAACCCAACTGTCTTTGTATTTTCGTTTTTAAAAAAAAAATTAAAAATTAAAAAAAATTTAAAAACTGCCTTTGTATTTTTGCGTCATTTTTGGTTTTAGACCAAGAAATAAACAAAACACTATCAGCACTATAAATTGCAGAGCTGTTTTCATTGATAAGGTTTTCAAAAAGCGCACTGTTGGAAAATAGAATGAGTAATGCCATGTAAATATAAAATGCATACATAAAATTTATTATGAATGATATGATTGCTCAAGCATGTTGTTTTCGCGTTGTTTTTGTGACAAATTTTGTATAACAATTATGTTTAAATGTGTGCATTTGATAATTGAAAATGAAAGATCCAGTGTCTCCCTCATGTAAAATTGCACTTGTAAACCCTGCAAAACCCAGATTTGTTGCAAATGATTTGGCAACTCCTTTTGAAAAATATTACAAAAGAAAAGGGAAACCAAATTCAAATGCCAATATTATTATTTGGCAAGATTCTACCCTAGAATTAGCCTAATAATGATGTCTACTACATCTAGCCACCTTTCAGCATGATAATGTTGGAAGTTTACCCACCAACCACCAATAAAGTCTAATTTTCAGCATGATAATGTTGGAAGTTTGGCCACCAGCCACCGAGATTTTCCAAACATTATCATTACTTTGAACATCTCATTAAAGTGTATCGATTTATGGAATAATTGAACAAATTTTTCTCAGCAACCAAACAGATTTTTTCCCCCAAACTT